AGATGGTGGAGGGGTGGTGGTGGAGCAAGGAGGAAGGCAGGACACAATGCTACTGAGGGGTGGGGGCCGCCTGGCCAGGTCTGGATCTTACCCAGTGGCCTGTGGAAGCCACAGAAGCCTCTAAGCAGTACGTCCCAAGCCCATCACTCTAGCCCATGTACGGAGACTTCTGCCATTTGTTATACCCATCCTCAACCTAAGGTGGCTCCTCTCCTAACTGCATCTGTAAAGGCCCTTTCTTTAACTAAGGGCCCCAGAAGCGGGCATGTGGATGTCTCCTTCTGGGGAACATCCTGGAACTCACTGCAAGAGGGATCTGTACATGTTTGTGAACAGCAGAGGCCTATGTGACATGGGTTCTGATCGCCTCACCCACACCAGGCCCCTCCTGCTGCTGCAGCCCCCCTCCACCCTTGGAATGGAGCTGAACACTCCCCAGTCCCACTCATGCTGCAGGTCCCTCAAGGGGTGCTCCTCCCCTACAACCTTCTCTTCCCTCTCTGCAGGTCTCTGCCTCAGCGCCAACTCCACAAGCCCTCTCCCACTTAAAAGAGAACCCCGACACCTCCCAGTATTTGCCCTTTTGCATCTTGGGGCTTCCTGCACATGAGCAGTACCCACCATGTCTGGGAGAGGTGGATGATAGGTGGAGGATGGGCGGTGGACGGGTGGCAAGATGTGTATTAGGATGGATAAATGGATGGCTGAGTGAGTGAATGAATGGGGGATGTGTGCATAGATAGGTGAAGCTCCTGGAATAAACAGAATTTCCAGGGTAGGGGGAAGGGAGACCAAAGGGCCTGGAGGCCCTGCAACACTTTCTTAAATGATGCTGGGCTGATGGGAGAGAGGTAACCCTGCTGCAAGGTGGGAGCTAACCCAGGGGAACTGGGCAAAGGAGTCAGCTATGCCCAAGGCTTCAGAGATCAGGGAGGTCACAGGGATCTTAGGGAACATGTGTCGGTGGGGGAGGGGCATGGAGCCAGACTACACTGAGGATGGAGAAAGCCAGGGAGGCCTGGGACAGGGGCAGATGGAGGGGTGTGGGGTACTGAGAAGGCCAGTACTGAGGTGACATGGGGCAGGCAGGCTAGGAAGAGGTAGTCTAGGGAAAGGGTCAGAAGCTGGGACCCAAAGACCCTGGGAAGATCCTAGGAAGCTGCACAAAGCAGAACTTCAGGGGGCCTTCAGGGGGTTCAGGCAGCAAAAACACTGAAGCTGCCTCTGAGGTGGGCAGAGAGAAGCCTTCCCCATACCAGACCCTGAGGATCTCAGGTGGCCCCCTCGGGAGTCAGGCAATGCCACTAGGGCCCTGGACCCACTGGGCCCACCAAGCACCAATGTATGGCCCAGGCTTCACTCTTGCCTGGCCCTTGTACGGGTGGGCGGGGCCCCAGCTGTGCCTTCCACATTTGCTATTTTCTGACCCCCAGCCTTGCCTATCTACAAGCCCAAATCTCTCTCCCCCAGGCAGCCTGCTCTGATCACACCTCCCAAATCACTCAGAATAGTTCTCAGAGTATGCAGGAAACAAGGCTGCCCTGTGGATACCACTATAGGCCTCTGAAGCCTGGGTCACAGCCCAGTGCCTCCCCCAAGGAGAAATGCTAAAAATTAGGGCACAGAAAATGCAAAGATCTGAAGATTTGGGCAAGGGCAGACACCCCAGTTTCCAGGGTGCGAAACTTCACCGAGCCCAAAGGCCCTGAGAGCATCAAGGTCTCGCTCTCCCCACCCATGCCCTTCCCACAATGGGTTGGGTAGAGCAGAACCACAGGTGAGGGTGTTGGGGGTTGAAATGAGCTAGTCAGGGGGCAGAGGGCAAAGGCCACGCCTCGAGCATCTGTGTGCCCCCTTGCCCTGCTCATGTGCTCAGAGACCCCCAAAGGTCAGAGACCAGCATGGCTGAGCAGGTGGGCGTGGGTACTCATCCTCATCGGCAGCACCTGGCGGGGGCAGGAATACAAGGCAGCCTTCATTAGGGAAGAGTCAAGGTGGGCGGCAGGGAGCCATCCCAGGTAACTAGCAGGGAATCTCACATCCAGGAACTGCTATGGATGGTGTTCAGAACCTTCCAGAAGCAGCCCAGCCCCAGCCCAAGGTTCAGAGACACACCCTTGAGCTGGCATCAAAAGCACTGGGCTCTTTCCTTGGCAAAGCCCCCAATGTCCCTGATGCCCTATGGTCCCCAATCTTTGATAACTAGGGAGCTGAAATCATCTCAGACCACGCCCACCCTGCCCCAGCTTCTGTGATCTCAGATCAAGGGGCCCAAGGGTTCAGACTTCTGAAGTCCCCCCACCCCCCTCCTGCCCTGCTGTCCTAAGTGCCCAGCCCCCCTGCCTCAATCCCATACCCTAGTGAAAGGACAAAGAACTCAGAATATAGTATTTTAAATGCTTTATTAAAATTGCGAGCATTAACAAGTTAAAGACAAAACCCGTGCATTAGGTTTTGCCAGAAATGTGAGCATGTTAAAGGAGTTAAGTTGAGGGGGACACAGCAACACAGGTGACAATTGGTGTCCAACACGTGGGGGGTCTTCAGGTGATGGTAAAAGGGGGACCCAAGAGGGGGACCCTGCTGAAGACATTGTAGGAGTAGAACATGGGGAAGAGACAAGATGGAGGGCCACACTAGGGCACAGAAAGCCAGATAGGTGCCTGCGACAAGATGGTGGTGACCTTTAGGAGCTGCAAAATTGGGGACACAGAGGACTGTGACAAGTGCCCCAGGAGTACCCAGCCCAGTGAGGCAAAAAAATACTGAGTGGGTGGGTATCCAGAAGAATGAGCAGTAATTTGGGGTGCCTCAAAAGTCTTTTGGATCTCCTCGTGCCAATTCGCTTGCATTCTCCAATTCTGACAGTTTTGCTCTTTGGGTTTCTGTCCAATGTTCTGAATGGCCCATTCTCCAGCTGCTTGCTAAGTGGCCCTCTGTGTGGAGTTGGACTGACATGTACCATCCCCCAAGGTCATGCCAGCCCCGTCACTAGGACCCAGAAGCCGTGGGCCTCTAAATTGCTAGTCAGACCTCATGCAGGGGGGCTGCACTGGGGGCAAAAGGTGGGGGTGAGGTAGACAACCACCCAGCCGCCCGGTTCCCTGCACAGTCCTAGGCACCATGATGTGGCTGCCATGGCATTGCCAGACCCACAGGCCTCGGGGCCCAAGCGAGCCCCCTCAGTGGTCAGCTCTCGTGCTCTGCAGGCTCACAGTCTCCTGGCTTCCTCAACTCCCTGGCCTCATCCCGCTCTGCCCAAAGGAGGCTCTGCAGAGCTCCAGGCCTCCTAGGGACAAAGCGGGTGCCGAGGGGTGGACAAGATGTTACTGAAGGGGGGGGAGGGTTCCTCAAGTGTGTGAAAGGCGACCACTTGCTCCTGCCCGATGGAGTCTCTCTGCTCACGCATCTGTAGCCCCTTCCCCCTCGACTGGCTGCAGGCCAGCCGAGGGCCCCATCTTTGTGGCCTCCGAGCACCTTCCTGACACCTGGGGAGACACCTCCCAGCCCCTCCTCCACCCCTCAAAACCTCTGGGGACTAAAGCCACCATCCCCAGAAGCCAGACCAGGTAGTGGCCCTTTCAATTCCCCTGAATTCTCCATGGGGTTCTGTGGCCAGTACCCTATGGAACCCCACACTCAACTCAATCCAAGCGACAGGAACAGATTAAAAAAAAAATCAAAGGGAGATAAATGGCGGAGAGCAGGACATGATGGTGACATTGATGGTTTTGCGCACGTAACTTGGGTCACTGCTCCCCTGTTACATAGGGGATGGGTATAATTTGTTGTGAGCGCAAAAAAGCTAAATACGAGTAAAATAAAAAAGAAAAAAAAAAAAAGGAAATATGCCCCAAGAAACAGGGGGAAATGGACCAATTGATGTAAAATTTGGGCTCCTGATTCTCTCCGTAATTCTGCAAAGTTAGCCGTTTGTCCTCTTGATTCTTCCATCCAAAATCTCCCGGGACTATCTTCTACCCCAGAGCTCCCCCCACCCAGCCCCCACTGCCCCCCACCCACCCCTCCAAACCGCCAGACTTCCCACTCTCCCCACTATCAGGGCAAAGGTGATCTTCGGTGCTCAGGGCAGGGGGGGATCCCCAGATCTTTCTCCCAGGAGCACACTTAGGGGCAGGCAAAGCATCCTTGCTTGCTAACACCATCTCTGATCTGGCCAAACTCATTCCTCACTGGGGGTAGGTGTCAATAGGGGCGGAGTCTGGGAGAATGGTGGTTCATGGGAACTCAGGCCATGAAAACAGCTGAGAGAATTTAGGGTAGAACTCTGCCTGATCTAACAGTATGGGTCAGCACTGTGGGTCACTTATGTTTTATTGCCTTCATCCAATTGTGTGTGTGTGTGTGTGTGTGTGTGTGTGTGTATGCGTGTGGGGGGGCATGTGTGAATGCACTTATATGTATGTGAAAATGTATGTGGGCATGTGTTGCATGTATGTGACTGTGTTTATGTAGCTCTAGGGATTACTGTGTGCTTTCTAGGTAGGAACTGAGATGTAAAAATTTTTGGGGGGTTAAGGTTAGTGCCAATTACTTTATTTTCAAAGATAGGGGTTTTCATGCTGGCCCCTCCTCTGATCTCAGTGGATCAACTCCGCCCAACTCCCTGGTGGCTCCTTTGATGGAAAGTGGGTGAGGAATGAGTCTGGTGGCCGCAGATCTTGGGCAGCCGACATTAAAAATGCCCAAAGGCAGTGAGTAGGAGATGGTGCAGAAGCACTGGCATGCCTGCCTGCAAACTTTGGGGCCCCCTTCCTTCCTCTTGCTGGTTCAGGGACCAGGTCCAAAGCAGGTGACTCAAGGTCCAAAGGAGGAAGGGGGAAGGGTGTGCCAAATCCCTTTATTTTTCCAATTGTTTTTAAGCCAATTCCTTTTTAATATCTTCTCAGCCAATTGATTTTTCAAGGTTTTTTCTTTTTTAAGGCTACTTAGTGTTTCTAAAAACCAATTAGTCTTAGGGGGGCTTTTTCAATTGTTTTGATATGTGTGTAGAATTTGGGGGGGGTAATTGAGAGAGGGGAGGATGTTTAACCCCAATAGATTTTGTCTTTGAAGATGTTGCTCTGACTCCCTCAGCCCGGTGGAGTGGGGCTGGAGAGAGCACCCTGATGTGGGGAGGCGGGGCACAGGGGGTGGGGTCAGGGGAACCACTGGGGTAGAAACAGAACAGAGAGATCTTAGAGGTGGGACGCGATGGAAATGTCCCTGCTCAAGAGGAGGTCACGAGCGCGATGGTGCACATTGCAGAATTACAACAATTTGGCTCACTTCTGGTTGCGGGACTTCTCCGAAGAGGTATCATCCCCGTGGGCGGGGTCTTTGGAGGTCAGGACGGTCAGGGGATGGTGACGCTTGGCCTCTCTGAATGCTTCGAGCTCTCTGGAGAGCTTACGACCCCGGCGGGCACGCAGGAGGGCAGGCAGGCCTCTGCGCAGGCGCTGAGTAGACTGTCTCCAGGTGTCATATTGGAAAAACTTGCCCACGGGGTATCTGGGGAAATTGTCCTAGAAAAGGAGCAACCAACAGGTCAACAACATAAGCTCCACCAACACAGCCACCTTCCTGGACCTCACAGTGACCTGACCTGGAGACCCTGACAGTTACACCCTGCCAACCCATTGAACAGGGCCAACCTCCACAAGGGGGAGGGGCACTGGCCGAGAGGACATGTGGGACTGCCCTCCATTTTACTTCAAGCTAATGCTAGCTATGTCCTTGTCCCTTGACTAAGCGCCTCACCGGAAGCACGGTCGGAGAGGATGACACGTCCCTCTCGGACTTGGCGGGGGTGGCACAGTAGGTCTCCAAAAGGGCCAGGTCACAGCTGCGGAAGCAGCACTCTTCAACGATGCCACGGCTGCGACGGCTCACACGGCTTGGTGGTCTGCCTGGAAATATCAGGGAATAGAGTCCCAGTCAATGCCCATTAGAGCCGCCCAGGGAGGCTGCCCAGGTGAGGCCCTGGTCACCTCACAAGGCAGGTGGAGGAGTCCACAAAGGACAGAGATGAAAGGGACGTGCTGCAGGACCAGCCCCTGGCCTCTGGTGCCTCCTGCCTCGCATGTGAATTCTCAGAACATAGGTGGGGCTCTAGCCCACTTGGGCTTCTAGTGAAGAACAAGCCCACAGGCCCAGAGGGGCCCATGTCCCCAAGCCTTGAGACAGGGAGGATCGGGCAGGAGAGAACAAGACGGGAGGGGAGGAGTGAGGAGTCCATTAACCACTCCCTTCTCTTCTCCCGTCTTTCCCCTCTCCCCCATGGCACTGGGGTCTGAGGCTTGGCTGGAAGGACAGTCACTTTGGGCAGGTGTCATCAGTGGAGGAGGGACAGGGATCCCCAGCTTGGGGTCCCTTTAGTGGGCTTGGCCCAGCTCTCCTCTTAGCCCAGTGCAAGGGAGCAACTCCCTCCTGAGGTGCCCTGCCCTGCCCTGTCAAGGAGGCAGGTGAGAGGAAGAACACAAGAGAGGCGGGGGCAGCAAGGGCTTCAGGGCATCCAGCAGCAGGAACACTTTTCAGAGAGAAGTCAGAAATGTAGGTATATCTTGTGAGCCTGTTTCACAGATGCGTAAGTAGAGGCTGCAGAGCAGGAGGCCATGTGGCTAGTGCCAGGTAGAGAAGACAGGGAGGTACACTCCAGCAAGAGGAGTCACTGTTCCTGATGCCTCCCCCTCCTCCCACCCCACTTGGGTGTGTCCCTCTAGCTCCTCTCTTCTGAGAACAATGAGCCCACCCAGCCCCCCAGGCTGGAAGATCAAGAGAAAATTGTGAGAAACATTTAAAGCAGGCGGGTACCCCACCTCGCAGCCAATACCCCAAGCACCTGAGTTCTGATACAGGGCTCTGGGGTCTCCTCCCCTCCCCTCCCCCAAGGCTGCATGTCAACAATCAACCCTGCTACCTGGTAGCTTCATTTGCTTTTATTTTTATTGATCTTAAGTGTATCAGATTTCAAATCTGATCATCTAGGAACACACGCCCCTTGTGGAAACATTCCAACAGTGCAGGAAAGAAGGCAGAGCCCACAGTCCTGCCCAAACATGGTGTCTTGGCATGAGGGGGTGGGGCGGGGGGGACTTGAGCCCAACCCACCAGGAACTAAGGCACCGCCCCCAGGGAGCCCCTTGGGTGCCCCGCCCACCGCACATGGGTGGGTGCTCCTTGCCCAGTAGATGGCCACCACCCTATAAGGTCTGATTCCAGCACTGCTAAGTACCTGCTGTATACACTCCTCTTCCCTCTCCCACCCCCTTCAAGTTACTTACTGAAGTAGAAGCCGCGGTCCCCACAGACAAACTGAAGGGTGTCCACCAGCTCCCCGCCGCACAGGGTCTCACTGGGGCGGTAAGCAGCAATGCAGCACGAGGCGAAGGCCAAGAAGGTGAGTAGCACCAACATCGACTTCCCCATTGAAATCCCCATTGGTATCTGGAGAGACAGAGACAGCCCCCCTGAGTTCAGGCTCGGCCCCACCCCAAGCCTCAGGTATCCCCCCAACCCCAGGTTCTCAGCCATCTCCAATTTGACTGAAATTTCAAAGCCCAATTTCCTTCTTAATTTTAATTTTTTAAAAAGGACACATGTTAACTGCTGACGTCAGGCCACACGGCCACTGGAGAACAGAGACAGGTTTGGGGGAGTCATGCAAAGTGTTCTGTAGCTTTAAGTTGCAAGATATGCTAGCAGTGTTACATGTAGACCACCATTCCTTCACTGTGATTACAGGAGTGGAGTCACACCCACAGCCAAAGGGCCAGTGCTGGACACTGCACTGGTCTCCCTCCTGTGACGTCATGGGGGTGGGGTCATGGGGGTGGGGCCAGACCAAGGGCGCGATTACCACTGGTGGGGCCTCCAGGCAACCGCCAAGATGGCAAATAGCTCCACCTATGCGGGAGCACGTATGTCCAAGAAGCCCAGTCCCTGATCTCCCAACCCCAGCTGGGCAGGGAGGTCCAGGAGGACCACTGCTCCCTGAACAAGCAGGCAAATCCTGCTGCACCAGTCTTGCCCCTTCAGCCCATGTGCGCACAATTAGGAAAAGGCTCCAATGGTTAGCACAACTGTGCTGTCCATAACGCCCCCCCCCCGCGGGGGGGCGGGCTCTGGATTTTCAGAGTCACCCAACCCTCCCTGTCTAGTCCTGGACACAGCAAAACTCACAGAAGCCCCCTTTTCAGGCCTCAAATCACACCACGCGCATCCAGGGACCTTGGAGGCCTCCCATAACCACCACACCATTGCCTCTACTGCCTCCCCGGCTCCGTACACCTCGCACAGAACTGGAGGGACCAGCTCAGACCACCCGAGAGGCCATCCACCAGACCCCTACAAGCCCAGACTGGAGAGGCTGCTCACTGCAGAACACAGTGCTCCACAGGCTGAGTGGCTCCTTTAGGCGTGGGAGAGCTACAGACAGACTACCCCAACCCACCAGGCTGGTGGTCCTAACCTTCCCTCTACAAGCCCATGCAATAAATCTTGTGAGATGGGGCGTGGAATAAGACGTAATTTTACTCAAGTCCTCAACAAACCATAGCCAGCTTCATGAAAAAAATAAAAAACCACCTCTCCTACCTCTTCGACAGGACTAAGCCACCCCACTGGCCCTCTGCTCCTCTTTCCAATTCCTGGGAGCAAGCAAACTCAAGCAGCTGGCTGCTCAGCTGCAGTCTGTTTAAGGGGCAGCTTCATCTGCTGCCCCTGAGGTCCCTTCCACAAATACCACCACTCTAATTCCAAGTTCAGCACAAGGTACCAGCAGAAAACAAGTGATGGCCTGGAGGCATGTGGAGGTGCCAGACAGGTGGAGACTCAGGAGAAGCCCTGAGGCTGCTGCTGAGGGAGGGAGAGGAAAAGGGAGAGAAGAGAAGCAGGTAAAGGTGCTAGGGAACCAGGTGGGAGCTGGCGGAGGCCCAGGGGAGAAGCCAGGCGCTGAGGCCGCAGGCCGGGCTGCAGAGGCGCAGGCCGGAGGCTCGGCCGTTGCCCTCAGCAACCAGGCAGGCCGAAGCAGGATGGCAGCTGGGTCCTTACTCCACAGCCCGGGTTACCTCGGCTGGACTGGAGGCTCGCTGGGGCTGGAGGAGGAGGAGGAGGAGGAGGTGGAAGCTGGAGGTGTCTCTCAGAGGAGAAGTTAATGTCCAGTTTGCAAGCTGGTCAGTGCCTCCGCTTTTATGTCTGAGCCGGCTCCTCCCAGCCCCGGCTCCACCCTACCCCCACCCCCTTGCAGCTGACCACTCCTCCCGCCCCCTTTGCCCCCGCCCCCTCCCCTTTCCAGCCAGTCCCCTCTCTCCTGCACCCCCACAATCGCTAGCTCTGGACCATCCCTTAGCAAAGTACCATGGGGGGTTCATCCTGCACCCCCAGCCCATCTCCAGCAAGACAATAGGGGGCGGGGGGCTCCTTTCCACCCTCTTGTATGGAAACTTCCATTCTGCTAAGGGCAAGGCAGCTGCCCCCTCTCCAGGCCCTTCTGAGACTCACACCGTCCCCTCTCCCCAGATTCCTGGTTAGAAATGTGGGGACCCGGGAGAGATAGAGGGTGGGGGAGAAATATATTGCAAATGTGGCGTCTGGCATTACTCTTTTGCCAACTCGGCCCCCCTCCTGGCCCCGCCCACCCCGTCTTCCTCTCTCCGTCTTGCTGGCACCAAGTCAACATACCAGGGTGGGCTTCCAAGACTGCCCCCCTCTTCATTACCCAACACCCAGGGGAGACTGTGCCCACACAGCACAACTCGCACGTTTTCAGAAACGCCGCTCTCCCCCCTACACACACCCACCCACAAATCGACCAGGAAGTCGCCCATGCCGACTGCACACACCTCCAGGGCGCTTCCCAACCCCCCCCCTTCCCTCTCTCCCGCTGCACAGCGCGAGGGAGAACAAGGGGTACCTGCAGGGAACCCGACCCCAGCCCCCAGCCCTTTCCCGGCGCAGCCACCCCGTCAGAACCCCAGGCCCTGGCTGGCCCGGCGGGAGGAAGCGCCAGGCATCCGGCGCGCCCGCCAGCCCTCCTAGCCCCGCAGGTCAGCGCCGCTTACCTGGAAGCCGGCGACGCTGCCGCCCACCTCCCTGCTGCGTGATCTCAAACCGAACAGCGGGCGTTGGCCCTCCTGCCGGACACTCCTCTGCCAGCGCCGCTCTGGCCGGGTCGCGGGGGCCGAATGTGCGACGGGGCAGAACGGGGGGATGGCTTTTTTTTTGGGGGGGGGACTCTTCTGTTTCGTTAGGGAGGACGGGCTGTCTTTGGGCTGGGGCGGGCCAGATGTTGTACTTTTAGGGGGGGAAAGGGTATCGGGAAATGAGGTCAGCTGTTGTACCAAGGATAGAGGGGGGCAGAGATAGTGAGAGAGACAGAGTGAACGTGAAAGGGGGGGGACAAAGAGAGGGCAAGAGGGAGAGAGGACAGCGAGAGGCGGGCAGGCTCACAGCGGGAGAGAACAGCACAGAGAGAAACAGAAAGCGTATAATTAATCCACTTTGGTAGGCGAAGGCAGAGGGCGGGAGTGAGGGGGGAGGGAGTCCGAGGCAAGGAGCTGGGGGTGCGGGAGGGAGCCTAGGAAAGGTGGCGTTGGAGAAGCCGGGGCCGCGCGAACGCGGTGAGAATAGCGGGGCGAGGAGAAGCTAAGGGAAGGACGCAACGTCGGGGGCTGGGACCGGGGGCGGTGTTGACCGGGACGGAATGGAGGCGTCACCCAAGCCGCGGGCGCCCAGCTCGGTTTGGGCCGACGGAGCCCTCAGCCGTCGCAAGCCCGGGTCTCGGGGGGAGGGAAGGAGTGGCGGCGCCGCGGCCGCTCGGGACGCAGCTCAAAGGGGGAGCGGCCCCGGGGTGCGCGCCGGGGAGGGCTGGGAGAAGCGCGGGGGATGACAACGCCGGCGGCCTGCAAGCCGGACTGCCTGCGGGGGGGACCGCCTCCTCCGGCGAAGCGAGGACCGGCGTTGAGGTAGATGAAGGAGGAGACGGCGGGGAATCCGCAGGCCCGACGGAGCGCGACCCCGCCGACGGCGCCCAAGACGGGAGTTAGCAGCAATCAGCGGACGACGTCGACGCGGGGCCGCCAGCCCGGGTGGAGGCGCTGGCGGGCCGAGCGCGGGCGGGCGTGGGCCAAGAGGCGGGGGCGGCCGGAAGGGGGGGCCGGGGACCGGCTTGGCCTCACGCAGCTCCGCCGGAGAGCAGGCAAACTGCGGGCGCCAACGCCCGGTTCTTATAGCCGCGCCACCCGGAGGCTCTGCGCCCGCTCGGGCCCGCTGGCGGAGAGCCCGCGCCAATGGGCGCCCGCGGGGCTCTCGCCCCGCCCCAGGACCGCCCCCGCAACTCGAGCCACCGGAGGGAACGCGGGCCGGGGGCCCCGAGGCTTCGGGGCGACCGCAGGAAGGGGGGGGCCGGTGGGTGCTGGGGCTTGAGGATGGGGTGGGGTGGGGGGCTGGGAGATGCAGAAGGTGAACTAAACCCCTTATCTCTATCCTAAAGAATTCTGGGGGTCTCCTCTCGGGGCTCTTGGGTGGCAGGGAGCCTTGCGCTTCAGCTCTGGGGACTCGGGGAGAGCAGCCATAGGCATTGTCCCAGGCTTTACAGTCCCGGCGCCCCACCGTGGGCTACCTGGCGGGGGTGTCTGGGCTGCGCACAGGCGCAGGTGGCCCAGAGCTGGGTCGCGGGTCCCCGCTGGTATCTGCCGCGGAGGAAAGATCCCCAACCTATAGGGTGCGAGGCCGCCACCTGCCTGAGCAGTCTCAGCGAACTGCGAGGCACCTCGAATTGCAGCCGGATCCTGAGCGCCCCCCGGTGCCGCGCGGGAGCCCCGTAACAGCCCCGGCAGCTTCTAGCTGCGGGGCGCGGGGAAGACTAGCTGGGCCTGGCCCAAACTGCCCCAGGCATGGAGCCTGCCTGCAAAGGCAGTGCTCTTCGGAGGAGAAAAAACTCAACTCCTACCTGCAAGACTGAGCTCACCGGGATGCGTCTAAGCAGCTCGCCTTTGAGGCCCACCCAAAATATCCGGATAATGGTTCCCCCGTCCTCAGTGCGTTGGACTTGCGTAGGCGCAGGTTCAGCCCCGGGGGCCACCACGATAATCTGGGGGTCTGGGGAAACCATCTCCTGGAGAGTTTGGACGATGTAAGAAGGCACTGAGATTTTTACCAAGTCAAAATCACTCACAGTCCCCTGCACCCCCACCCCCGATCACCCCCAGCAGTCCCGGCCGCCCCTGCTTAGCCTAGAGGAAGGGGCCGCGGGCGGCGGAAACCCCAGCGCCGCAAACCCTCTGGCTCCGCCATCAATCACTGCGCCCGCGCCGGCGCGCGCTTCCCCAGGCGCTAAACTCGGCTGGCTGCAGGCGCCGCGCCGCTTAAACCCGGAGCGCCTCTCCGCGTCCCATCGACTCTGGATCCTGCCCGCACAGTTTCGGGGCAGCCGAGCCGCTCTGCCCACAGTTGTGGTCTTTGCTAAAAGTAAACGAAAGTAGCGTTAGTTTCGGAGCGCCAAACCGAAGGGAGAGCGGCCGACGAGTGGCTAACCCGCAGATGGGTCGCGCGCTTCTCGCCGGCCTCCCGGACGGCTGTTGGAAACAAGCGCTTTCCCATCCGTTTGATCCGGACGGCAGCGAGTGCGGGCAGGAACCAGGCTGGGGCAGCGGAGGCTGCAGGAGCCGGGCCGCTGGGAGCTCACCGCGAAGCTGGAGGCAGTGTCTGCGGGCGCACGAAGAGCCGAGGCTGCGGGCGGGAGGGCGAGCGCTCTGTGGCGGATAGTGGACGCTGCTGAAGGTGAGCGAGACCCCGGGGGGGCAGTCCCCAATGTCCGGGGGAAACGCCCAGTCCGTTGGAAGACTTAGGGACAATGCCCAAATTTGGGGGAAACTGGGGGACAATGCCCAGTCGTTTTCCTGGCTAGGAAAGAAGGATTGCCCAGGTCCTGGCGATCGCGCTGCGGTCGGGAGTTTGTTTGGGGTACAGAAAGAAAAATTTCCAAAATCCAAGTTGCTCTGGGGACTCTGTAGGAGACGCCAAAAGGCCTGAAACCAGTACCCGCCGAGCACGGGATTGGGGAAGCCTAGAGCAGCCGGCGGGGCCGGGAACAATGCCCAAATCTCAGAATTGCACGATGGATCTCTGATTTGCAGCCCAGAAAACAATTGTCCCGACGTAGGGACACCCAGGGGAGATTCAACTAAAGTGAGAACTGTGATAAATGAATTTGAGACTTCAGAAAAATAAGAGTCCACATTTGGAGGGCTAGGGAAATTGTACCATGAAATTGGGGAACAGTGAGACAGATCTAAACTGAAGGAAACCAGCATGTTGAACACAAGCTTGGGGGGGGGGGTCCCACAGAGTCACAGACCAGTTTGGGGCTGAATTTTTTTGTTGAGCCAAAGAAAATTCTCAACATGAAATTCGCAGGAACCTAAGTGGCACAGTGTTTAAAATCATAGGATGAAAACATGGGACATTTTAGGAATCTAAGCAAATTCTTAGAGGAAGATAAGGATTAATGTCTACATTTTAAAAATGCAGGTCAGTAGCTGGAGACTTGTAGCACCCGGGAAAAATAACCTCCATGTTTACTATAGTTTCCTGGAAAATCTTCAGTGTTCTTTAGATACCCCAAAAGTACTGTCTAAATTTTGGGGATCCCAAAGTGCAAGCAGTAAGTACATCTGGGGAATGCAGTCATCAGTGTCCATTTTAATTTTAAAAATAGACTTCAGTTCGTTTATTTTTGTTGAACAAAGGCCAAAAATCCTGTAGTTTTCCTGGACATGGTTTGCATTTAAGGAACTCATGCAAAATAGTCTCAATTTTGGGGTCCATGGAAGTTACTAAATGGTGCTTGAGATCTAAATTTCAGAGACCCAAGTTAGAAGCTAGGAAACTAATTAGACACAAACCTTTTAAACCTTTAGGATTTGAGAGACTTGGGGATATTTTTCAGTGTGTTAGGAGTAGGGTTGTCTAATGGGACACTGCCTGAGTTTAGGGAGACAAAGCAAGGATCATATAATTCAATAAAGTTCATTAAACCTTAATAAAAGCCTAATTGTCCTTTGGAGAAAAAAAAAAATCTCAGTTTGTTTTGGTGTGCTTTATTTTGGGGGCTTTGAAGAAATATTTTTTTAACTAAGGATCCAGGAAAGTTAAAGACCCTTAGAGGACTTGCAGGGGGTTGGTGTCTAAGTTTTAGGGAACCGAGAATTCCTCAATTGTAGGGTCTGAAAAAAAAAAAAATATGGGAATGGTGCAGGATTTGCAGGAAATACTGCTTAATTGTGGAGGATTCAGTGGATACACAGGTTGCTTTCCAGCACCAGCGTTTCTTACTTTTCTGTAGATTAATAATAATTGTGTATTTGGGGGCATGGAGGGCATAGCTTAATATTTAAGGGAGCCCAGTTTGGGCAAATATGAGAGCTCAGAAAAAAGATTTGATGTAGTCCTGGGCTTTGGGTGTTTTTATTTTAGAAAATCCAGATTCTTGTTAGTAAACTAAGAGGACCCATGGAGCCTTTTAATAAAATTCAATATATTGTGTTGTAGAAAAAAAAAAAAAAGCTCAGAATGGGGACGGAGGACATTCAACAAAGACTGTAATATCAAGAAATAGGCTCTGCCCGAGGATTAATTCTGTGTATGGTGTGACCCAAAGACATAGGAGGTTATCTGAAAGAATGAAGGTAGAAAACCTTCCTGGCACACTGGAATACAGCTTGGGTAAAGCTCAGGAAGCTTTTGAGGCCTGGGTTAAAAGTGACCATGAAAAAAAAAAAAAAAAAAAAAAAAACCTGATCAGTGGCCAGGAAGCCTGTAGAATCTTGGAAAAATGTCCCAAATCCTCATAAGCAGAGAGGAAAATTGTTCATTAAATTTTGGGGCTCACTAGTAAAAGCATTCTCTTAGCTTATGGAACAGAGGAAATCAGAGTACAGATTGTTATCAAGGTGTTTGGGGGTGCAATACCTAATTCTGAGGGAAGGCAAAAGGAACAAGGTTCTCACTTTGAAAGTTCCAGGAGAATTGCTCAGTGGTGGGCAGATCTGGCCCTCAATGTATACAACGTTTAGGGACCCCAAGTTGGAGCCAAAGGTCGTGGACCTCAGTGGACAGTGTTCTAAACTGTTATGAGAATAGGGCCGAGATGTGGGGGAAGTTAGAAAAGGGTTAGTAGATTTAGGAAACCCTGGAGTTAACAGCTAAGATTATAGAAATACAGGGGGAAAGTTCCAATTGTTTTAGGGACAGGACCTAAATGCCAGAAAAACACTGCCCACACTTTGGGGAGCCCGGAGGGTCTGTCAGCATGATTACAGGACTTATGGATTACTGCTTAAATTTTAGGAAACCGAGTTTGGCGTTCTGTAAATCTGTAAGAGCTAGAAGGAGGTATATAAATCTGCTAAAAGCCTAGAGGAAAACAAATTCAGAGACCCAGCCTACCTAGTGTAGGTCTGGGGACACTAGCAGGGGCTTCATGCCTTGTAAATTTTTGAAAATGAAGGCTGAAAAAAATAAATTCTTGTGAGCTGTAGCACTTGGAGGTCTAGGGGGCAATGCTTACATCTGGAGGATTCCATATACAGTAATGCTGGAATTCAAGGATTACGAGGAAGTTGCTGGATGTATTGGAACCCTGGAGAGCGAGGGCTGCATTTTAGGGCAAGTTCCTGGCTGGAGAGGACGCGCTGCTCGGGTCCACCGCACCCAGGGACCCGGGCGGAGCAGTGGCGCCCTCCCCGGGAAATGCGAATGCGGGCTGCGAGGCCGCGACTCCGGAAAGGGGTACAAAGGTAGTGGGGCAGATAGCACCCGGCGCCCCGGCGCGCACGCCCAAATGAGTTTAGCTTTTCGTTCTGTAGCCTTCTCACCACCGAGAGGACTTCTGTGGTGGGAGCCCGCACAGAGCGGGCACCTACTTGGAAAGGAGAAAGGCGAGGACCGTGAGAGAGCAGCCGGGACGTTGTTTCCCCGCTCTTTCCTGGGCTTGGGGCTCCCAGCCTCGCCGCGGAGGAGGCCTGCTGACTCCCCGCCGCCACTGCGCCCCACGCGCTTCCGCGCTGCGAGCCTAGGCGAAGCCGCGGCCCGGCCGCCGCCGGGGGCAGGCTCCTCCCCGGCTCGGCTTAGGGGCTCAAAGCACCCCCCGGCAGCCACCCCCGCCTGCCCCAGCCC